AGAGAGAGAGAGAGAGAGAGAGAGAGAGAGAGAGAGAGAGGAGGCGGTTAAAAACTGGTCCGCGTCCCCCCAAAGTGGGTGCCCGCCGGTCGGTCGGAACCAACCGAACCTTGCGCTGTGTGCGTTTGATGTCGTGAAGCAGGTTAACGAAAGCCCGGCTCCAGGGAAGAGGGTTGTTTTTTTTTTTTACCACTGTAATAAAAATATCTGATGTGTGGGGAGGGAGCAGACGGGGTCGGGAGAAAACATTCATTTCGCGCAGAGGGGAGGTGGGGTGCCGCGCCCTCCTGGAGCCGGAGCCTGGCGACCGGGACCGAGGGACGGAAACGCGCCCTGGTCCCCGGGGGCCCGCGGCCGCCTCCCTGCCTCGGGGGCACCCGCCCCGGATGCGCGGGGGACGGACGCGCCTCGTCTCGTTGTCTCTCTGCTGGGTCGGGGGACCGCGGACGGGGGGCGGGGGGGGGGGGGGGGGGGCGGGGTCCCGCGAGCTCTCTGGGAAACGGTTCGAGTCTTGGCGGTGACCCCGGGGGTCGAGGAGGACGGCGGCGGCCGCTAAAGTAATTAGCCGGCACAAAGGAGGACGGCGGCGGCTTAGAGCGGGGAGGCTCCGGATTCCGAAAGTAGAGTTTGGGGGACCCCCCCCCGAGAGACAACAAAGGCGACTTTCCACCTGCGACTCGTCTGCGCGTCAAGCCCCTACGAGGCCTGAGAACGGACTTCGTTCCCACGACCACTTCCATCTGGACTTTTAAGGAGGGAAAAAAAGTCACTTGTATCTCGGCATTTTGCTCCCCGGAGGCGTCCGTGCGGGGAAGCCGCGTCCCCTGGGGAGAGAGGGGCGCGTTTGGTGGCTGTGCGCGCCCCGGGCCCCTCCTGCACGGTTGAGGGGTTAGTTACCCTTGCTCTCTGCTCGCTGTGTGTCTTTTCGGGCTAACCCTTCAGTTGCAGTTTGTGAATGAATTGCCCCCGTCACTGTGGCCCTCCCCCCCACCCCGCCCCCGGGTTTCGAGACCCCGGAGTAGCGCTTTCCTGGCGACAGCCTTGGGGAGGGATGTGGAGTGGCTCCCGGTCCCTCCCGGCCCGCGTCCGCGCTGCGCTCGGGTCGCGGCTTCGTCCTGTTACACACCAGTGTCATACCGGGGTTCATTAAAACTTGTCTGGATGTATCAGTGCCGGCGTGAGGCTGTTCTCTCCTTAGGGTGTGAGGCTACCGTTGAGAAACCCTCCCCCAGTCCTTAACTCCCTAACTCGGGAGTTCTGGCAAAGGCGAGGTCGCCAGCGAGCCATCCCTGGGGACCGTGCCCTGTGCCCCTAGCTCGGTTCCTCGGTCAGCGCGCTGGTCTCTGCCCGTTTTCATCGCCCTGTTTTCCTGCCTGAACTTCATTACGTCGACGGTAGAGTTCAAAGGTAAAAGCCCGCAACAGCAAAGTGATGCTATACCAGTCAGTCGGACTTTTCAGAGGTCGGCGGGGCGGGCAGGGCGGGGTCCCCGGGTCCGTGCCCGTGGGGCTGGGTGAGGGCTGACCCAGGGCCCGGAAGCCGCCGGCGCTGCCACCTCCCGGGAGTGAACATTGACTCGGCGGGTGTGGAGTGCCGCCTCGCTCGGTCACCTGTTGCTGACCCAGCACGGGGAACAGAGGTCTGCCTGCCGAGTCTGCTAGGCGGCCGCTGGCGGCTGGGTGACCGCTTGCTGCCTGGGCGTGGAGACAGGAAGCTCTTGGGCCTCGGACGCCAATCTCCAGCATCGGGCACACGCTGCCAGGACCCCGGGTGCAGGGCAGATGCGCGGAGAGTGGTGAGAGGTCCTCGGCGTGGTAGGTTCGGAAAAGCAGGGCTGAGGGCCTGGAAAGCCTGGGCCTCTGTGGGAGCCCCTCAGGTCTCCCTCCAACTTCCAGCAAAGTTCCACTGAAAGCCGGTTTTCCTCCCCCCTTCAAGCCTGAGAAATTCCTCCGACCTTTCAACAGAAGAGCATAAAGAGACAAGAAGAGTTAGTCAAACTTACACTCATAGCAATGTCACTGGAGGGTGCTTGGGTTAGACCCTTTTTTTAAAAAAGGTGTTTGTGCCCATCTTCTTTTTCTTTTTTTCTTTTTCTATTTTCTCACAAATCTCATTACAGTGTGCCACTGAGTTTTGACATATCATGAAGGGCTCACAACCGGTTGAAAAGTTAGGCCTGTCCCTCCCGTGGGTTTTCCGCTCCACTAGTGTTAGGTGGTAGGAAGGGAAAAGAGGGCCACACAGTGGCATGGGGGTCAGAGATTGGGGGAGACTTTGGTGTCTGGCTTCTCTCTCCACTTTCCAATTAGTTGGTGCCGGAAGCCCTGCTGGGGGCCTAGGGTAGGGGCCTGTAGACATCTAACCTGAAGAAAGAGTCCCTGTGCCCCAGCAGTTTCTTCAAGAAAACATTGTCCCTCCCTTTGGGATCCGACGAATGGTTTCCTGGTGCTTTACAATGATGTCTACGGTCCCACTGCTGGGACCTTATGTGTCTCCACCTCCAAAAGGAACCAGACAAGTAGTGGACCCTCGCCATTTTTAGAACCCTTCCTGCACCCAGCCCCTGCTGGGAAACCCCTTCAGTGGAGAAAACTGAATGTTTAAAAAAAAAAAAAAAAAAAAGGTGGGAAGGCAAAGTGAAGCGCACAATGATTGTGCCCAAATTCTCATTTCAGAAAGGATCCTGGTGTTCCAATGAAGCCTTACATGGTGTGACTACAAGATTTGTCAAAATATGTGAAGGGGAAAGGGCCTCTCTGTCAAAACTCTGATCCTAAAGGGGAGGGGTGTCCTCGGTTAGATGTCTCCTCTGCTCCCAGACCTTCTAACTTATATGCTCTGTAAGGGCATATACCCTCAGGAGCATCTGCAGCTGGTACTGCGGAGCCTGGCAGAACACTGGTGACACATCTCTGGGGCACTAGAATAGGAGACCCCCAGGCTCCCAGCTCCTTGTTTCACACCAGGATCAGATTCTTAAGAGTCATGTGCCAAAACAGGCCTGCTTAAAGCCTCCTGAGTCTGTTTTAAACGTGTTGTTAGGCCATTAACAGAATACTGAGTTTATGGAAGTCACTGAAGCTGGACTAGTTAACTGCGGTACTTTGGTAACTCTCAGTTGGCTACACGGCCTCATCTGATCTCACAGGCGGCTGCCTTTTTACCTATTAGAGAGCAGAAAATGAATTTGAGACACAGGGGAGGTGAAAGAAGAAGCACTTGGAATTTATAACCTTCTTGGGTTACAGGCGTGAGGGACACAGGCACTGGGGAAGCAGCACTCAGTTGTGATCCTGGGTGCTGAGGTGGGAAAAAAAGGCTGCGATTACTCAGCCCATGCCCATGCTTAGCTGAACCAACAGAACCCCTGAGAACGATGGAAAAAAAGCAACAAGGGAGGTGAGTGTGGCTGTTCTTTCAGACAGAAAGAAAACAAGTTGTACCAATCGGTCTTACTTTATCCCCCCCCCCCGAAAAAAAAGAGAGCTGAAGGCTGAGAGAGAACGAAGCCACATTTAGCTATGGTCTCAAGAAAAGCAGGCTCTCCTGCAAGGGCCCATTGGCACAGTTGGCATCTGGCACTTAGGAAGTCTGTCAGCCAGGCTGGCTTGTGGTCAATTATCTCCTTAAGTAATCTGGCATTAGTCCAGCCAGAGAGGACAACTAGTTGCGTTCACGGGAATCCAAGCCAGTGGACTGAAAGTGGCACTGCTGAATTCCAAACGTCTTTGCGCTGTGGGGTTGGAAGGCCCATCAACACATACCCTCCTGGGACTCAAAGGTGATGTTTGCCAGCTTGGCACCAATACAGGAGCCAGAGGAGATTATGAAAATGGAACTCCCTAGAAGAATCACGGACCATCATAGCCACAGACTCCCCTTAGATTCTCCATTCACCTGCCCAAACTGCAGATCCTAAAGTGCACACCAGAATAGAGAGTGTCCACACAGAAGAACCTTCATTCCTCGGTGGAAGGAAGGAGAGATGGGGAGCATGCTCATTCCCATCTTGGGTAGCGGTGTCTGCGACAAGAAGATTGCTGTGTCTGTGGTTCTGCACAGGGTCCCGGGCAGAGTGAAGGGAGAATTGAAATGGGAAACTGAGAAACAATTACAAAATCCAGGGATAACTTTTGTCAAAGGTTTAAGGGCAGAAAGGGGATCCAAGTGCAGGCCTTGAATTCTGGAGGGTAAAACAGTCTCTCGGGGTTCAATGTTCCCATGTTGCTCATTCAAAGTACTTCCCCTAATATTAGCTTTCCAAGTTCAAGAACTACCTCATGCCCTTCAGGGGAGGTTGAAGGGTTCTGCTCGGGGTTGGGATTCAGTCTTAAAGCATTGTTTAAATGGCACGAGTTTGGCAGGGCTCCAGATATACACTGTCCTGAGCACTCTCCCCCTTTAACTATCTCTGTGAGTCTTCAAGAAAATTCAAGCCACATGCTGCTCTTTTCTCCCTGCATCCAAATGCAATTTTACTGAATTTTAGCATGGTCCATGAAATTCAAATTCTGTGTTTTAATCCATAATGTGTTTCCATGATCTGCACAAGTCACGTGATATGCTCACATGTCATTATGCAGAAAATAAAGCTTGTGAGAACTGTAGTTGTATTTTACAGAGACATTTTGGTAAACTAAAGAATGCCATGCGGAGAATGCTGTATCAAAAAGCATTTTATAAAAATTTCCAAAAAAAAAATCCATAGAATGCAACTTAATAACTCATGAAAATATTTAAATAATATTGCAAAGAAGACATTTTACTTGTGCTTAATTTGATCCAAATAGTTCTTTTCTGCCACGAGTAACAGCCTTTTGCGCACATGGGACACCCAGGCTGTGCTCATAAGTCACAGACCCTGTTACTGAGGCATCATGTTTACTGTGCATTAGAATGTGTTTTCCCATCTGAGCTGCCAGTCTTGTCAGCACCTTCACGGGCAGCATGTTCATATTGTTACTGCAGATGGATGTTTACAAGGAAGGGAGCTAGAGAGAGCAGAGGTGGACCCCGCTGAACTGGAGGCAACCCAGAAAGGGGTTATAAGTAATGGAACACAGAGATGAAAAAGGGAGGGGAGGAAGGAGGAAAGGAACAAAGGAAGGAAGGAAGGAAGGAAGGAAGGAAGGAAGGAAGGAAGGAAGGAGAAAGGAAGGAAAGAAGGAAGGAAAGAAGGAAGGAGAAAGGAAGGAAGGAAGGAAGGAAGGAAGGAAGGAAGGAAGGAAGGAAGGAAGGAAAGAAGGAAGGAAGGAAGGAAGGGGATGAGAGGGATGAAGGAAAAAAGGAGGGCGGGACAGAGCCTGTGATTACTACTAGCAAAGCAAAGACACAATTTAAGAATTACAATTTTCTCACTTATGGCCTGGTTTTGGTTCCCCTGTTGAGAAACTGTAGACCAACCCTTTAATGTGACACTTTCTATGATGCCAATGACCTGACATAGTCTTGCTGTAAAAACATTATTTTACATCCTTTCGAAAGTTGCTTGGTTGGACAGCTTCATTTCCTGCCTAAAAGAATGAGGCCTCAATGTTCATCCAACATTTTTGTGACATTAAACTTAACTGCAATGTGTTTTGTAGGAAAACTAAGTCCATGTAGGGAAATACTTAATAAACAATGATTTTGCCTACTATGAGCATCATGCAGCATATCATAAATGAGGCTTTATGAAACTTTGTTCCTAATAACTAATGTTTATTAAGTCATGTAGAAGAAAAGCGGTCTTCAGTATCATTTCAACCTTATA